ATGGTCATACAATTTTTGAGTCCTTAAAAACTGCTGAATTATTCCCTTTATTGGGGTGAATTTTATGGAAAGTAAATTGTATCTCAATGAAAAAAAAAAACCTGTATGAGTAATACACATAAAAAATTTAGACATTACAAAAATAATAGAAAATTTCCCTCTCCCCACCTTGCCTTGCATTTCTTATCTTATTTCTTATACTGCTTTTTATCATTTATGCTTATTTGTGAAGCAAACTAGGACCTTGTTATGTATACCGTTTTTACCAGTTTTTTCACTTAATATGACTGGTTTATTTTTCATTACTGGAAAAAAGAGATTTACAAGTTGACTTTGTAAGTAATAGAATAGCAAGCCCAGAAATCATAAAGAAAAATAATGCTAACTCGATTACATCACAAATTTTTCTGTACAGGAAAAGATATAAATTTAAAAATAGAGAAACTATATGCAATATTTCTAAGAAAGGGTTATTACTCCAATAGTAAGGGCTAAGGGGATTGTAGGGTAAGGAAAAATGTCAGGCTTTTCTGCCCTCCCGCCATCAGGATAGATGATGGATCCCTACAGTCCTGAATGCATGCCTGATGGCGGACACCTGGAGTAGGGTGTGGGCATAGGTAGATGGGATTCACCTGGGCTAAGACTGGGCTTTTTAAGGGCGGTGTCACGGGGATACCAGGAGAAGCCAAGAAGAGCAGAAGCCGAAAGAGAAGCTGAGAGAGAAGCAGAGAAGCAGAAGCAGAGATCACCAGAGAGCCCAGATAGAGTGAGGATTTGCTGGGGGCTGGGAGGACTGCCAGCCTCCCGGCCCCCCACCACCTCTGCCTGCTGTGTACTGGGTAAATCCCAATAAAAGCCTGCAAAAAGCCCCTGAGGACTCTGACTCCTCCTTCACCCAGTCTGCTGGATCAGAAAACCTGCACTGTGCCCATGTCCTGCCCTTACAGGGCTTAATGTCAAATACCACAAAAAATTAATGAGCAAAGATGCAAACTGGTTTTCACAGGGATGAAAGTAAAATGGCGATTACATACAAAAAAAAAAGATATCAACTTAATTAGTTGTCACTTTTTGCCACCTTTTCACTGCTTGTAACAAGCAGCTCTGGCAAGTACAGGGCAAAACGGACATTTCAAAAACTGCTGAAAGATAAGTGAATTGCTGCAATGTTTATTTTTTTGGATTTTTCAGGTTTTTTTTTTTGTATTTTTTTTAGATTTTTTAATTTTAACATTTATCATTTTTTACATTTTTTAGACAATATTTGCTTCCCCCCACCTACTCAGGTTGAGTCCCCATAGAATTTCCTTCCCCAAGGCACCCATGTTTTGAGGAAGCAAGTGGCATTTGCAAAAGCACATATCCTTTAACCCACTTACAGGACTCTAACCCACAAAAATAAAAGTGCCACTACTAAATATGTTCACAAAAATGTTAATTATAGCAATGTTTATAAGAGGGGGAAAATTGGAGCCAACTGGAATGTATGTTGAAAGGTGACAATTGAATAAACTGTGTTCTAATAGTCTGTGTATCTTTGGGTTTGTTTTCTGGGATCTTCTTCTGAAACATGATATGCTTTCACATTTGCTTACTATTTTTGGGTACCTATTTTAATGAAGTTAGTTTGTTTCAAAGCAAAGCCCAGAAAAAGAAAAACCCCAGGGGTACATAGGCATAAAACATGATCTTGGATCTCTAAAAAACATTGTGATTTATGGGAACCATGGATGTTAAAGCAGCAGGTGTTAGCCCTCTGTTACTGACCTAGAGGCATGTACACAGTAGACAGCTATGTGCAAAAAAGCAAGTTGCTGAGTCATTATGTAATAATTGTCATTAAAATGAAACCCAACCTCCTACAGATGTGAATAATTGTTTGTATATTGTTGTAGGCAGAGAGAAAGCCTGTTAAGTTTGGTCATATTTGGTGTTGAGTATGCTGTGTTTGATTACTTAGAAAAAGAAGGCAATTTTATAAAAAGCTGATTGTTGATAAAGGCCAATTTTTGCCTAATTTAAGCTTTGTTCAAAGCAAGGGGGTAGTTCAAAAGAAGGGAGAAGTCAATGTCAGTGAGATAGAGGAGTTAACAGGGAGTAACTCCAACATCTTACAACATAGAAAGTATGCTCATGCTTTTCTTTGCTTCTAACAATTGGGTTCCTTACAGAGCTGGAGGAAGTGACTGGGAAGGAGCAGACTCACTGGTCTAACGTACTGGACTGGTGGAGGGCCAAAGATGGGAACTCTTTTTTGGGTTTCTGACTCTGGTGGTCTTTGGGGTTCACTGGACCTGATGCAAGAGCAGATCAGGTCAGAATCAGTCAAAAGATTTGGCTTCTTCTGGATCAGTTCAGGAAAACAAGTTATGCTTCATGTGAACGATTTGCCTTCAACCATCATCGCTGGGGATAATGCTTCCATCAAGGTCAAAGAAACTTCTGAGAGCAAGTTATTAGCCCACAGAGAAGCTGTGGTGAATCCCTGAGACAGTTTTGGAAAACCTAATCTCCTCTACTCTAGGAGAACTAAAATGTCAAATTGGGAAAATAATCAGAGCTTTATTATAAGAACCTTATCCAAAATGCACTGCAGAGAGGGGCTGAGTGGCGTGGCCCTTTGGTAGTCTCTTTTTTTTTACTATTTAGAAATGCAAAAAATTGATTTTTTAAAAAGTAAAAATAAAAAGCATTTTAAAATGCAGAGGTATTTTTCCAGGGAACATTAGTCCTGTTTATGACTATTTTATAGTTTGAAGCCATCTTCCATACAACTGAAAAGTTCTATGGTGGACACAGCCCACACAGGAGAAGCACAGGGGTTCTTATTGATGGCAGTCAGTTCCAAGAAGTGACTTTATGCTCTTTGGGGATATTAGACAGACAAAAGGAGATTGATCTGAAACTGACAGTTCCTTGAATGTATGCAAATATTGTAAAAACACCCCCTTTAAATTAATAGTGGGGCTTCTTTTAAGGGAGAGATGAAAAACAGACTCAGAAGCTTTCGCCTTCTCGCTACACCAATCCTTGCTAAGAGAAAGCATTCTGCCAATGAACTGAATTGGTGGCTAGGCCTTTGTCAGGGACACTTACTAACAATTTCAGGGAGAGGGAAAAGAAACAAAAACAGAAGTTGTGATGGGGGGATAGAAATGAATGAGGCGGGCCTCCCTGGTGGTGCAAGGAGTTAAGTCGCAGCACTCTGAAGGAATCTGAGTTCGATCCTGGCCGGGGAGGTGATCTACATGGCGCTGCAGACCTCTCCTGTCTCGCCTGCTGCTCCCCTCAGCAGTGTATTTCAGTCAGTCTGCCTGTTCTGCTCCCCACTCTGTTTCTGGTGAATCCTCTCACCTCCCACACCTCTGGTCTGTACCCCAGTTCTTGTATGCATAAATAATCTTTTTAAAAAAAAAATGAGGAAAGAGGAGGGACAATGCATCTGGAAGAGCAAAAATGTAAAATATAAAACAAAGAGAGGGCACAGCCCTTGTTTCTACAAACCCTAAGTCATCTCAGGTCAGGGACACAGACATGACTGACTTGGGGACACTGGGCACTACCCAGCACCCACAAACCTGAGGGGCAAGGTATATTTGAATAGGAGTAGTTTCCATCCAATTTCCTTTATAATTTCTTAGAGCTAAATTAAATCCTTTCAGTGTTTTTCTGTTTTTCTCCTTTTTTCTAGAAAGTGACAGAGAAGCAGGGGCCAGGCTAGCTAGCAAAGACAAGGACGTGGCCACAGGGCATTTCTGTGGTTGGCACGGGGAAGCTATGGAATCTACTTTCAAAACATGCCCGAACAAAAACCTCACGTGCTTCTGGGTAACCTTGCAGTTGCTGAATAAACCGCACATGTCTCTGTGAAAAGCTCCTTCGCCCTGTGTGGCATCTCTGCTCTCTGGTTGGGGCCCCGCTTTCCTAGGAGTTAATATGCTGGGAGCGCAGATGCCTACTCAGAGCACTGGCTAACGAGGCTCATGCGTGTCTCCTCCTGTGTGCCTCCCAGAAGCAGCTCTGAGCTGGGACATCTCTCTGGTTAGCCCGCACCAGCTCCCGGGCAGGTCTGAGGCACAAGTGGCAGTCTCAGGTTGCTTCCTTGTCAATGAGCCACACGGTGCCAGATCATGACACACACAACCTCACGTCTTCCGAGAGCTCTCTCAGGCTCCAGGGGGGAGGGGAAACATATGGGGCGTCTGTTTTCTCTCCTTAGCCAATACCAGCCATGATGAGGCTGGTATTGTCCCTGTTTCCTCTCTCAGCATTGGTACAACATGGATGGCACCTTCAGAAATTTTTATCTATGAGGCACTTAGCCGTCTAGGTGAAACTACTACTCAAGCCCACTGCTGCTCAGAGGCTTCTCAGCATTTGGGGGAAGTTATATCAGTTACCTGTGGTTGAGCAGGGTGCTTCTACAGTGACCCTGGGACCAGGACGGATGGTGAGCTGCCGGTCACCTGTGTGTCGATGGACATGGGAGAGCCCCAGAGCCCTCCGTTGACAAGCCAAACTTAAAGGGGGTTAGGGAAGCACCTGCTTGATGTGCATCTATTTTGTTTCAATCAATCAGTTTTGAAAGTGATTTTCCTTTACACTGAAGGGTGAAGAGCAAAGAGGAGGGTGATGAGTACAGCGTTCTTTCAAAGCAGATAAAGAAGAAAGGAAAAAAGGAGGTGAGGGGGGAGTTCTGACGTCCTCGAGCACACTTTCATGCACTCGACTTACTTTTTTTTTACTAAGAAGCTTGCCTTTGTTTGTTGAGATTGAAATCAAGATCAAATAGCAAGTGCCTTCTAGGACAAAGTGGTTAATTTGGAAGCATCTTGAAACACCCTGCCTCCATGGATGGGGAGATAATCTCTTCACTGTAACCTTTAATCTTGGTAAAGAAGAACAACCTGGGAGTAGGGAAGGGTCAGGGAAAGGGAGAGTCCAGATAAAGGACTGAGAGAGTGGGTCACATGCTCAAATTTATGCTGGTTCCCTACCTCCTGGCCCCTGTCCTGCACAGGACACGACTCACTGTCTGCTTCCGAGAACGATCCGGATTCGTCGCTGGAGTTGGTTCCATAAGATTGCTCACATTTAATTTGGGGTCGGACTTGGTTGTACATTCCATCTGCCATCAGGCCTGGTTCCTGATGTTCTGTGGCAAGGAATCTGGCTCCTTGGGAACAGGGCGAGGAGGAGAACTCACAGAGAGGGAGGCTGCAGGGCGAGCCCCCGCTCCCATCTTCTGCGTAGGAATAGGAGGAGCAAGAACTGGAAGTCCTGGTCCTGGTCTCCAAGGGGGGCGAGCGGGGGCAGACTTTGATTGGCACCGGGCAGCTAGTGTTGGGCCGCATTCTTCCTGGCAAGTGGTCAGTCATCAGCCCACCATGGGAGTAGGCCTGTGAGCTGGGGAGGGACTGGCTAGCCCCCACCCACAGCCCCTTTGACACCGGCTCAGAGAGGTCTTTGTCCAAACTGCTTACCCCAGAATATGAATGCACTGAAGTGCTCACTTGGTCACATGTGCTGGAGGAGAAGATGACACTTCTCCGGTCCAGCTCTCCTTCCTGTTTACAGAGTGCCTCCAACCCAGGCCCCTTTAGGGGCGACCCCATCGTGAAGTTGGACGCATCCTTCTGGCCCATGTGGGGCTGTCCGTAATTCCCCGGGAAAGGGGCATAGTCAGTTTTAAGGTCACCCTGAGTGATCCCCTTGTCAAAAGGGCATGCCGAACTCCTGGCAAAGTGCTGCTGAGATGTACTGGGCAAGCCGGACAACTCTACACTTTTTGTTATGCTGAATAGAGACCTTAAACAGGAGGGAGAGGACACACTCCTGGATCGCTCCAGGCAGGTGGCCCCCACAGGGGGGGCGGGGGCAGGGGTGGGGGTAGGTTGTTTCCTGTCCATTTCAACATCCCCCACTCTGTCCTTGATGTCAGGCTCATCCCCAGACAGGCAGAGTGTGATGCTCTCTTCCTCATTCTCTTCGCTGGGTGGCTCACTTTTAATCTGCCCCATGGCAAGCCCCGGCTTGATGCTGTTGCCAGAGTTATCTTCATTGAATGTGCTTGCAAAACCTGAGGTACTGTGTGATGATGCATTATAGACATTCTTGGTACATGCAAGCTGGTATTTCTTGTATCTGGGATACTGTGTTAACGTGTCCTTTTCTGAGCTCTCCTTGGTGTCGGCGGGCACTTCCGACTCAGGCAACAGAGTCTCTTCCTTTTCTGCTACTGGGATGGCAGTGGCCTCGAAGCTGATAGGGTCTGGAAGAATCTGGTTCCTGGGGCAAGCCATCTTGGCCGTCTCGGAATCCATCGTCTCCTCCTCTTCGTCTTCCTCCTCCCCGGCGGAGTTCTCATGGTCCTCATGGGGTCGCTGGCACGTGGTGTCCTTTCGGCACACAAACAGGCCATCCTCGCTGTTCAGGAGCTGGGTCTGCAGGAAGCTGAAGCACGAGTCCTCCAGGTTGTGCATGCGCAGGAACTCAGCACAGCGGATGACCTCGCGGATGTTTTCTCTGCTGAGTAACAGCTTGGCGGTGTAGGCAAACTGTAACAGCGGCCCAAAGCCCCTGGCCGTGACCTGCAAAACAAACAGGGAAATTGCCCACGTTACCAGCAGCACCGCTATTGTCCCGAATCCCTCAACTGTAGCAAGATAACCAGACAGTGCTAATGTCCCAGAATAAAGCCTGCAAAGGAGCAGTTAATCTCGCACTGGGTCAGCAATGATTCTGCTTCCAATAATTAGTGTCTGTCTGTTGCAAGCCACCGCTGTACTTCATCACTGGCACACAGAATTGAAAAGCACCAGGGTCAAGTGGCTAAACAAGATGACAACGGGTTCTGTGTTTACACTAATGAAATATCCTGGCAAAAATGCACGGTAACAATGGCAAGCCTATTAGCTGGCCTCCCAATCAGTTCTGTTGAGAGCCATTCTCCATAAGGAGTGCTGTGACACTTCTTGCAGCTTACTCGAGCCAAAGAAAGGCTTCGAAATTTCTTGTCAACCGCAATACTGGCAATTGCCCCATTGAAAACTGAAAGTCCATGAGGTTTCAAAAACAGTTTTTCCCCACTCACAGTGTTAAAAGAGACATTAAAAAACAACTCCCTGTTTTGCTCATTCATCACGGTCTCTAGTTGGGACTTTTCAGTCATCAAGTCATACCTGATCTTACAATGATACCAGAAATGAAATCCTGATTCATAAACAATGGGGTGACAGAGCTAAACAAATCAGCTGTCATTTAAATGGCTGAAGCTGCTGAGGGGCACAGGACATGGACTATTCCTTCCCTAATTATTAGCTGCAGCTTTGTCATGCAGCTGTCTTCTTTTCTGGTAAATCTTCAGGGGCTAAGCCCACTGTCATGTGCTGTTCATCCATTACATTTTCCACAGATTGAAAATGTGCTATTTATGCACAGTTTGTGCATAACACGCACATACACATAGAGAATGACTTAGGCAATTAGAAATATGTTGCTAAAGGCCAACTGTTTTTTCAGATGGAAATGGATTGAACTTGCTAGTGTTCAGGATAGACTTGCTTACCCAATATGCAAATCATGCATCCTCCAGTTTCTTGCGATCATTGCTGACCCCATAGGAAATGAAGCAGGTCTATGAATTATGTGTACAACTCAAATGAAAGCGACAATCATGGGGATCCTTCTTGGAAGCTATTGTAGCAGTGATTAAAAAATACCTGCTAGAATTTTGCCTCAATAAACATAGTTGGAAAAAAACTAAAACATACCTGCTAGGGAATAAGTGCCGCGCGAGATAAACTGGCAAGCTCTGTAGTTAACTTCCATGTGTATTAAATTCCCTACAGCACACAGAGCCAAAATTCTTGTGAGGACTTATATTGTTCTCACAAACTCTTGTTCAAGATTTGGTGTGGGCATCAATTCCCCTGGGAACCCTCCCCAGGCCTCTTTGAGAAAATGTATTATACCATCCTGTCAGTTCCATACCCAGAATGAGGAAATGGCCTAGATTCCCCAGGGAAGCACTGATTTTATAATGCTGCATGCTCTCCAGTAAGGAAACTGAAAGGGATTTTAATGTAATGTTTTGAAGCACTTTAAATAAAATTTCAAATTTAAAAAATGAGTCGTTGAGACATTTGGTTAAGAAAAACGCACACACACAGGCTCCCTGGTAGCCTAAGGGTTGAGTCTTGGTGCTATCACTGTGATGGCCTGAGTTTGATCCCTGGCCAGGGAGCTACCCACATGGTGCAGCAGACCTCTCCTGTCTTACCCGCTGCTCCCCTCCGCAGTGTATTTTAGTGGATCTGCCTATTATGCTCTCCACTCTGTCTCTGGTGAATCCTTTTCCCCCTTCCCTCCCCCCCGCACCTCTGGCCTGCATCCCAGCTCTTCTGCGCAAAAATAAATAAAATCTTTTTTTAAAAAAAGAAAAATGCACAAACAAAAATCAACCCCTCCTGACTAACAGACCCACATCATAGTTGTGTAAGAGCACTTATGGCTGTCTTACTATTATTACACTTACTTATGTCTGTTTCCACCATAAAACAGCAAGCTTTTTCAGATCAGTGATTATTTCATTTCTCTTTGCAACTCTTTGTAACTAGCGTCTCTAACGTGGAAAACACCTGTTTAAAAGCTTGTATATTACTGAGTATGTCCATCTGTGCTGCTAACATGTAACTAGTATACAGAAGGTGACAACACAGTCTGCATGGAGATGGTTGTCTCAAGTTACTTTTGGAGCAAGGTATTATGTAAGCCAACAAATCAAGTCAACCAACCAACCAAAGGCAGGCAAGAGTTCTTATTTGTCCTGTCTCGTAGGACCAAAAAGGAGCTCATCTGACCTACATTTTTGAGACCTACTAAGCTGACAAGGTAATAGATTCAGTAAGTGTAATACTTACTATATCCATTTTTTATACATGCTTCAAGGAACCCTTATAAGATAGTGCAAAGCAAGGAAGCACATATTTACATGTAACCAAAAAAGGCAATAAGACTGTCACAAGACCTATTTCTTCACTGTAGCATGGCTTCACCGCAATGAGTGAAATGGCAGAATCCAGGCAGAGTTGACCCCTCCATAAATAAGCATCTTCTGCTCAGCAACTAGGCAACCTGCCAGTTGCTGAGTGGATAATACACATCTTGAGTGTTGGCAGATGTGCTTACTATACAGGAAATGGGACAAACGCATCTCAATGTCATTTACGTTTTTATACAGTGCTCCTCATACTCTCATTGTTATCACCATTTCTCTTTTTGATACTGATGGTTTCAGTAAACTTCACCACTGTGCCTCACTATGCCTTTTCTACAGAAAATTCCTATGAAGTCAGACACCCGATGGGATCATCAGATCAGCTGTGGGCATAATCACTCGCCTCATGGCTGCAAGGAGCTGGAGAAAGCTTCTCCCCTCAGTGAACAGGCATCATTGAGAACAGTGTCCACATCCCAATTCTGATCACCAATCCTTATGGGCTTAGAAGACAAGATGAGCTTTAAATGGTCACCATATGGTCAAGAAAGAGTCACAAATAAAAACAAGATTGGAAACTCATCTAAACCCAAGGCCAGAGTAAATATCTTTTTTTAAAAATCTTTTTTTAAAAAAATATTTATTTATGCATACAAGAGCTGGGGTACAGGCCAGAGATGTGTGTGGCGGGGGGTGAGAGGATTCACCAGAGACAGAGTAGGGAACAGAACAGGCAGATTGACCGTAGTACACCGCTGAGGGGAGCAGCGAGGCGAGTCAGGAGAGGTCTGCTGCGCCAGGTGGGTTGCTCTCTGGCTGACTGGGAATTGAACTTGCGCTGCAGTGGCTGCGGATAGCTTCATAGGTTGCGTCTTAACCCTTGCGCCACCAGGGAGGCCACAGAGTAAATATCTTGATGATGAAATTTTGAGAGTCCACAACTAGCTCTTCTCCCACATTGTTATGGCAATTTCCCAGAGAAATCAGGTGGCACTCAAAGAGCTGGAGAGAGAGATTTACTTGTCACACCAGAGGGCTCAGTGGAATAGCTCCCAAAAGGCTGAGCACCCAAGAATAAAAATGGCAGGGATTTATACAGTTTGTATGAGTTTGGGATACAAATTGTATGGGATATAGTTTGCTATCCTATCTATCATTGCATAAGCTTTCTTTATTGTTTGGGAAGGGGGTCAGAGTCGCCATGGCTACCACTGTGAACAAGCAGTGCAGTACACCCAGCAACTCTGCTCCAGCAACCAGCAGAATCTAGGGAGCAGACTTCCCCAAGCAGCAGACCTGGGAAACTTTCTGCTTCAACTTGAAGTCATCCATCCATCCATCCATCCATCCATCCATCCATCCATCCATCCATATGGTGTTAAGCTACTCTTTCTGGCATTGGTGGCACTGGGACTGTAGGGCTGGGTTGAGCCAGGAGGAACCTGCAGACTTGGTGAGCTCACAGAGCCTGGAGGAACCTGCAGACTTGGTGAGCTCACAGTCTGGTGCCAGTGGGCCCTGTCCCAACCTTGGGTATTTCCTAGGGTCACATCTAAAAGCCTGCGGCACCTCAAAGGAGTTTAAATACTGCGTTGTTATATTGAATTCTGCTAAATTTTGCTCAGTTTCTGTGTGCAAGGCTTTGTGACTCAGTTACCATTCACCAGGCACCTCCTAGTACCCAGCATCATGTTAGCAGGCTTTCATAACACCCAACAAGTCAGGCATAATTGTTTTTATTTTATAGACAAGGAAACTGAGAAGCAGGGAGGCGAAAGAATCTTAGAGCTAGGAAGCAGAGCAGCTTGCCTCAATGCAATGAATTCCCTGTCTGTGTTTGCTCTGGATCAAGGATACCTTCTGAACTGCCAAGGGAGTTCCTCCCAGGAACCCATCTCTGGTGCACTTCACACCAGTTGTAATTGCTCCAAAAACAAAGAGCAGAAAGCATGTGCCCTTCACACCTGCAAGCCAGAGGCTTTTTAAATATTGGTTTAGCCTCCATCTTGAGTAGCTGTCTTTCTATTTTTAGGAACCACTTAAACTCACTCATTGTACTTAGAAATAAATATCCAGATACCAAGTGAAGTTGTATGTTTATGAAACTGACTGTGACCACAAGTCTGCATTGTTTTTACTTTCTGTTTTGAACAAATAAGGTTTTAACAAATAAGAGAGGGTGGTAGGTGGAGAATCACACACAAAACTAATGACTCATAAAAATGTTATTTAAAAAGGTAATGATCATAAGTTAAAGTGGAATGAAGTGACTAGAAATAGCAAACCAGAACCATTTCACAGATGCTACTGGAGCCGAGATTCACTGCTCTAAGGGGAAACAGGCAGCTCTGTAGTAAAATTCATTGGTCAGGAATGGACAGAGGTTTGATAAACAAATACCAAATATTAGAGACACCTGGGATAACAGACTTGCATTTTGGGTGAGATGTTTTGGAAGGATTTTTTTAAAAAAAGATTTATTTTATTTATGTATACATATAAGAACTGGGGTGTAGGCCAGACATGCGGGGGGTGAGAGGATTCACCAGAGACAGAGTGGGGAGCAGAACAGGCAGATCTAGTGAAATACAC